GGTTGACTCTAGTGAGCTTCATATTCCCCTTCTATTTGTTTGGCTTCAGGATAGAGAGCTACAGAGCAGCTCCATCTCACTGCGGAGCTCAGTCCAACGTGCTTTTTTGTCGTACAGTGTGAGCAGGTAGATTGCATGAGAGCGTCCGGCCGAACATAAATCGTGAGCTGTGAACTCACACTGTGCGACTAAACACTGCCCTTAGTCGTACAGTTTGCACAGCAGCTGAGTGTAACAATTGAAAAAAACTGTGCAGTGTACGCCCGGCTTTAGGGAGAAAATTTCTTTTTCAAATAAACTTTTTCCTTTTAACTTCCCTTCTATCTTCATCAGGATGTGTTCAGCCTGATGATATAGAGTTCTGGTGACAGAAAGTTGTCTTCAATTTGGTTAAGAGGTTCTGATCTATGTGAGCTCATTTCCTGTCAAACTGATGTGTCCTGGTTTGTTTCCCGTAAACCTCATTGTTGCGGCATCCATCTCTTTCCGTGTGCACCACACAATACAAAAAACACAGCTTGCTATGCCTCTATTCTTTTTGATTGGATTTTCACCCAGGTGTCATGGACGTCTTTACCACTGGGTTGAAAGTCATGACTATAAGCTACATGTTTTATAGGTAAAGACTTAATTTACAGAAATAATGAATAATTGAAATAAAAAAAATATTTGTTTATTATTTATTGCTTCTCTTTTGTCTGAGAGAAAGACAATTATAAAGTTGAGGGAGTTGATTAATTTGAGGCTACTGATAATTGAAGAAAGTCGCTATGTCCTGTATTTAATTCAAAGATCAAAGGAGGATTTGGTTGATTCAGGGCTGGTTTGACAAATTATCCAACAGGAGGGCTTCAGCCAAGAAGCACATTTACACACAAAAAGATCAATAAAGATCACATTAGGAGATACATAGAGTACTCCAAAGATACATGAGGACTTCAGTCTATTAAAAAGACTGGGCATCTGATGAAGATTGGTTGTTGTGACTGTTGAAAACTGAAGGATGAAAGCTGGAAACAGGAGCAACAATTTAAAGTATTTAGGCCAAGGCAAAAACTCTTTCACTTCCTCCATACAAATATTAGCCACACCTGAGATACAAGTGTCCGTAAGTACTGTCACTATACTTTAAAACTAAAATGTAAAGTCTGATGTTACCAAAGTTACCATGCCCTAAATATCTGACAATACTCACTATTATTTTATACAAAACTAACATTTCAGATTGCAACAAAACAAAGAGAAACTATTTCAGTAAATCAATATTTCTCTGCAATGAGGTTGAGAAAGAATTATCACCCGAAGGAAATGAGTTGGTTCAATTCTTTGTAGATGCATACAAGAAAACCCCAACAAAAGTTTTATCTAAGCTACATAAAAGCTTACAAAAACGAAATGGAAATACCTCATCATATATAAAGTCCAAATGGGAAGCAGTGTTAAAACTGAGACTGTCAAAGAGTGACTGGCTTTCAATGTGCAAAACACAAGCTCTGGAGGCTGAAGGGAATTTATTTTTAATTCGCTAATTCATAACGCCTCAATTACAAAATTAATTATTCTATGATCAACAACAATGTTTGGAGACAATGTGGACCGATGAATGCCAGTCACTCTCATATATTTTGGCAATGTACGAACATACAAACCTACTGGGATCAAGTTGTTCAGGCTGTAAAATATATATATATATATATATATATATATATATATATATATATATATATATATATATATATATATATATATATATATATATATATATATATATATATATATATATATATATATATATTTATATAATATTTCTCTGATTCTTAAACATATTGCATTGGTGATGAGCTCAGGTAGCTTTTCTTGTTGCATGCCCTTAACTTTATGTATAAGAGTCATCCTGCAAATCTATTAAATAAAATAGGCAGACACAACTTGAAATGAAGGAGAGTGGGCCCTGAGAAGTGTGGTTGAGAAACACATAATTCATAAACCAGGAACAACGACAACTTGGTAAAGAAAATACACCAGATTCCTTTCCTGACAAGGACTGGGATTTGAACACAGGTCTTCCACATTACATTTAAAGAGTTTAACCACTTAACCATTGGGACTGCTACTAACCATGTTCAAGGTTAATAAAAAAATAAAAATAAATCAGCCTCAAACATAAGGTTTTGGCTTCTTTAAGAGAATTTCTATACGAACAAAACTGGTGGGCAGCTATCATTGTGCAGAATTCCTTTGCAATTTAATAGTAACACACATTTTCCAATGTTTTTATTTTTGTTTGCTTAAGTGAGAAATGTAATCATCAACTTAAAACATTCCTGTTAAAATTTCTGACTTAAAGCAACTTTCGGATTACCATTTCTTACACACTGACAAAAAAAAAAAAAAAAAAAAAAAAACAGGAAGCAGTGCTGTAAACCCTTCCATTCGTTGGAGAGAAAAATTGCAATGTTTTCCTTCACTGTAAGGCCCCATTTAAGAACTGCTGACAAGTGTCAGTTGGTTCAGGTCAAGGGAGGAATAGGGCCATATCATAGCCTGAGTTTTTCTATCTTCAACGCCCTTACTAGCTAATCTTATTGAGAGTGAGTGGCTAGACTATAAACAATCAGAATTTCATCCATTCTACAAATTTTACAAAGAACTGTGAGGGAGGACTTTCACATAAAAAATCAAACTGTTTCAAAGTTATTGTAAATGCTTAAGGGATGGTACAGCCATTTATAGAAGTTGTTGTATAACTTTAATATATTTATTTCCCTCCCCAGTAGGGATGGTTATTTAATCAGATAATATTCAGATTGCCATATATTGGCTATAAATAACCCCCCTGCTGGCTGTGTGTTAGAACAACAAATGAAAGTGTGAATCAAGCTCAAATTATGGTCAAACAGTTAACTCTGTACATATATGGAATAAAATAACCACAGCTTTCTTTCCAAATATATGAGTTTATTAACAAAAACCATTCAGCTGCAAATCAAACATATTTTTGTTAAAGACTCTTGACTAAAACTGGTGAAACTCCACTAGACCAAGAAGGAAAAAAACATGGTTGAAAACCATAATCAATTAGATGCTGCATGGTCTAGCATGGATTTTGTGTTTGAGAACCAATGTTTATCTTAAAAAATCTTGGATGAGATCAAATTAGCTATTGACTAATTTAGTGCAATTGCAATGTTTTCAAAGCAATTCACAATGCAAATCCAGGAGGCAAATAAAGCATTATTTGGCCAATTAATGTCTGATGAAATGATTTGCTTAGTCAATAACCAATAACCTTAAGTTAAGTGATTCTTTATCTTCTTTAAATGAGCTACCATTAGCAGACATGATGATTCCCATTAAATGACATTTGTCCATCCATCCATCCATCCATCCATCCATCCATCCATCCATCCATCCATCCATCCATCCATCCATGCATCCATCAATCCATCCATCCATCCATCCTCTCCCGCTTACTCATATGGGGGGTCAGAGTGAAGGTATACCCTGGATAGGTCGCCAGTGTGTTGCAGAGCAACACAGAGACACACAGAGACCCAACCATGCACATAAACACTCACACAAAACAATTTAGAGAAGCCAATTAACCTCTTTTGCGTACTGCGGGAGGAAGTTGGAATACCCAGAGAGAACCCATGCATGCACTGGAAACTATGCAAGCTCCATGCACAAAGACCATGGGCCGGGAAGCTACCCAATGCCCTACTGTGCAGCCCACATTTGGTCATAATTTGGATAGCAAAAATGTATTGAGCATATGAGAAAACACTTGAACATTAACGTTATATTAGTTTTTAAAGCCTTAGTGAAATACATTTCTTTTTTTAGCTTCATAAACAATAGCTCAGAGATGATTTTGTGGTATAGCGTTTCGTGTGATCCATCTTATAAGCTGTGTCTATACTAAACAGTAAACACATGCCATTTTCAATTTCATCAAAAGATATATTGTTTAATTTCATAATCTCTCCCTAACTGTGCTAGACCTTGTACCTCTGCCCATGTCCGTTTTGGAAAGCTTGAGTTTTTCTCCTGCATTAGCGGCTTAGCATGGAGAGTTCACTGCAGGGGCTATCCTCTGTTCCAGCCACAGTCTTACTTTGAAGGCCCCTCACCCTGTCAGCATCTAAAGGTTCTGAATCTCTAAGAAAAATGTTGCAAACAATCTGTTTTGCACTAGTTTGGTTCTAAAAAATCAGCCATCACGAATAATGGTCAGGCTGGTGATCTGGACCTTGGGCCTAGGTTTCCATAATGGCTTCAACTCACATGGGTGAATGACTGAATGTAGTGTAAAGCGCTTTGGTCAAGTCTCCTGACTTGAAAAAGCGCTATATAAGTACAGGCCATTTACCATTTACATGGTGAACCCCATGGCAGCTTCAAAGAAGGAGAGAGCAATCCTGTATAGTGTGGTGATTTTGACATCAAGGCACACTTTTGAGGGGTGTCTTTTAAAGTGAATTGGGGGAGGGTTGCATGTTAAGATGAAACATTGACATTGGTCCTCTATGTCCAAAATTATTATCATGGTTTATGGACCAACATAATTATGGAAAATTATACAGAGGAACAAACATTTAGACTACTGGCTTTCTATTACCCTTCTTTATTGTATTTTTTTCTACTTTATAGCCCTTTTACACTTTGATATCTGGAATAATATAGTGAATTTTCTAACTGTATAACACATTTTTTACATGTTTATATGTTTAATTTTATATTTCGTTTGTGCCACTGCTATATTTCCGATCTTAATAGGATTTCATTGGTAAAATAAAAAGTTCCCATAGAAATAAGAAAGTTTACTTTTAAAATGGTCATAGCTTCTATTATGTGTAACCCCTTGTTTATTTGTAAGGGGTCCAGTGTGTTTAACAGTCCACCAGCTCCTGCACCAGTTACACCCAGTAACAGAAAAAGGGGCCATGCTGCTTCGTCTGTGAGCTTGTAAAACTTATAGTACTTTTCATGCTTTTCAGCTACAGCCATCCTGTTTTCTTCAGCTTTCAACATTGACAAGGGCAAGCCTACTGTTCATGAAGGTGAGCGGGAAGATTTCTTTGGGTACAAAGTGCTTCAGTACTCGTCGCCCAATAATAAAGGGTAAGTTTTGCCTTCCTACTTCTTTGGTTCTGTATAAGTTTAAGAGATTTGAAGAAATAGATTGAAGATCTTTTGAACATTTCCTGTGTCGAGTTGGAAGAGTTTGTGGTTAGAGGTGTTTTGGAACCTTTCATCATATTAATGCTACATATTAACGCCTTCATAATTAGAGCATAGGCTTTAATGCTTGTTAAAAGACCTTTTCTGTGTTTAATCGCACCACCACTATGGTTTACAGGGTAATTATCACCGCACCACTGCGGCTGAATGGATCAGGAGGAATAGCCAAGTTTGGCCAAGATGGAACTGAAAAGTGGTTCAGTCCTAAAGGTATACAAACATTTCACATATACCCCCACTGTATTATTAAAGAAAAAAAAAGGAAGTTCACTAATACAGATGTTTTAATTATAAATCCAAACATCTGAGGTGTAAATTTATCTTACTATTTAGAAAATACAGGATAACCTATAATACTGTCCACACACTCATCAACCTCCATTCAGACATGTTTTTATCTAAAGGCACCTCACACAATTAAAACAAATCATACAAACCGACTGGTTATAAGTTTTCTAAGGAAATCCAGCCTGTTGCATCGAGTCTTTGGCTTTAGGGATTCACTCGCCCTGGATGAACATGTAGTGACAGTAGACATTGGCTTGTATACTTTCATTGACCCTGAGGCGATCGTTCACACCGAGCATTCATGCGGTAACAACAGGAAGAGGGCTTCAGCCAAACCAGGTTCAGCGTGCGTAGCATTCTGTCCAGGCTGACTGGGGGTTAAGAAAGACAGAAGCAAACATAGAAAATCAACATAGAAGCACTGATCTATGAATAAATTCTATGTTAGAAAAGGTAACTGTAAACCAGCGACACAGGTAGCTCTGCTAGAAAGAATTATAATGGAAATTTCTTTAAATAAACATTAACATGAATTTAACACACTACAGTAAACAGATAAATGGAGGCAGAAGATGTCTTTCAGTCATCAATGCAAACATTTAGCGACACACAGAAGCTTTTTCAAGCTGGGCACCGTTTCATTCACAACACCTGTCCCATCAACCAGGAACCAGAATCAGAAATACTTTAATAATTCAAGGGAGAAATTACTTTCGTTACATTACTCCATCTGTAATAGAGTGACTAGCAGTTTGATATAATACAATCTCATACCATATATATAACTAGGGGGTCCCCACTCCATCTCGCCATCAGTTTGGGGGTTCTTGGCCTAGAAAACGTTGAAGACCCCTGAAATAAATGATAGACATAATTAAGATAAAATACTGGTACTCCAAATAGATCTACATCAAAGAACAAGCTAACAAGAACCTTACAACAGTGTCTCTTATTTAAATTACCATTAACCATTCCAAATTCTTTGAAGGTAATATTTCTTAAGTGAAGTTTTGAAAGAGATAGAGAGTGTTCTGTTGTTTAGTAGTATTTGGTAGTGAAGTGCATTCACACATTCCCTGTACCTAACTGAACACTGATTTGATTTAGTTTCAACTCCACATAAAATAAAACTACCTCCTACTGCACATTTCGTTTGATAATGATGTGTATAAATACTAAAGGTGTTTTATTTGTTATAACGTTATACAAAAATACCATTATTGAATACAGCAATGTATTTTTAACTTTTAACCATAAAAGATTATCATGCATTTTATCAACATTTGATCTAAACACACATGAGAGAGCGACTCATGCAGCTTTATTCGGAATTATTCGTACTTTTCTTATATGAATTGATGAAGCAATAATCAAGATGTGGGAAAAAAACTAAGCATCAATATCCGCAGTGTAAAATACTTTAAACATCTTTTAATAACCGATAAAATATTACCCATTTTAGTGCCTGTGTCTAGGAGAGAAACAGAACTAATCAAGGAAAAACAGGCCCAACTCTATAAAATATAATAAAAGTTGCAGCCCAACTGATCTCTGTCCAGTCTGGTGTCACAGCGACAGAGAGCACCAGGCCTGATGAAGCAACTATGATGAAAAATATGTTGAAGACCTCCGAATTAGAGAGTAGATAGTAAATTAAGCAGAATGATGAAAAGGGGTCCCTTTGTCCTCCAGAGCCTAAAGGGGATAAACACTAGACATGGTAACAGCGCCTAAGCTCATAGCAGCTTAACTACAGAGATATGGATAGCTCACAATAACCTGAGCCACTCTAACTATACGCCTTATCAAAAAGGAACATTTTGAGCCTAAAAGTAGACAGGATGTCTGCCACATGGACTAAACTGTTTGCTGGAGCTGTGCCTCATCATTGTTCAGAAGATCGATTGAACAAAGTTGTAAGAGACTTTCTAAGTTTGAAATATAGTTTTTCACCTAGAACTGCTTTAAATGCGTCTATAGCTTTATCCCTGACCTGTCTCCTGTCTTAATGATGCAATTTTCACTAATGCTTAGGTGTATCTGTGCTGGGATCAAATTAACACAGATGGACTATTTGTTGGTTAACAGACTATTGAAGTTAGCTGGTTGCATTTGATTTTCTTTAGGTGTATCATGGTGTTTTAACCAACTACATTTATGTATGCTGTTGCTTGATGAAATGTTATTAGGCTTTTAGGGGTTTAAATAGTTTTAATGTTAGAAGTGTACCAAACCAAACTGAATAAATGAACGTATTGGATGTTAACACATTTTTATTAAAACTTATTTGTAATAAAAAAAGAGATAATATGTATTGGGTCCATATGATCTGTGACAACATTAAATACATATTGATCATATTTAATAATAATGAATATAATAATAAATAATAATTAAAAGTAGGAACCTGTGCAATCTTTTATTTGCCATTTGCACATACTCCAACTGAATTGTAGAAACTGGTTGTTTTAACAAGTTATTAATTCTGTAAGAACGATTACCTATAACTGGAATCAAATGTTACTTTTACAGATTCTTCGGGGAAAAAGTCACATATGGCCAAACATCTCGGTTTGTCAATAACTAAAGATTCTTCAGGATCCCGGTTTATTGTGAGAAATCTCTAATATTTTACAAAACAAATGTCTAAAAAGTGTGTAATCCAATTTCTCTGACCATTTTGCTTCTGCTTTAGGCTTGCAGTCCAAGTCTTGCTCATCCATGTTATGAAAATGTCTTCCTGAACAGTTTGTGTTATAACATCACAGATGAGTTTCAGGAGTTGTCCTCCTTTAACTCTTTGTTTAAAGGTAAGATGACCCTGACCCAAGTTAAAAAATGTACTGTTTACATTAATCTTTATCCTCTTTTGTATATTACCAAATCTATATAATACTGAAATTTATCTTTTTGTAACTTTTTCCAGAATGCAAAGAAAAAAAAGTAAACCTTGTCTTTTTGTTCGATGGATCTGAGAGCATGACCGGAGCAGAATTTGACAAAAATAAAGATTTCATAAGAGGCATCATGGACAACGTTAAAACAAACAAATCTATCAAGGTAACTGCACTACTTCAGCATCAATTTATTTAAAATATTTGCAGTTAAATGTATAATCCATTGTCTTTACATAATTTTAGATCTATAATGTGTGTTTTCCTTTAGGTTGCAGCAGCTCAGTTTTCTACAGACTTCAGAACAGTGTTTGACTTTAATGACTATGTCAATGGCACAGCTTTAGAGAAACTTAAAAAAGAAAAACATATGAAGAATCTGACCAACACACACAAAGCCCTCAAATTAACACTGTAAGTTTGGTTACATTAAATACATTTGCTTCAAGACTTTGTCTGTAAGGTCTATGTGTTAGAATTTGTTAAACTTCTCTAAATGTCTGCATTTCTTCAGGTCAAGCATTTTTGAAAACCAAACAGCGGGAGCCTCGGAAGATGCAGCTAAAGCTGTGGTGATAATCACAGATGGAGATCCAAGTGACACTGATAGAAATCACAAGAGTGTAGAAACCTATGAACGTAAAGAGATCGTTCGAATTGTCATTGGAGTAAGTTTGAACAGGTTGCTGTAGTAGCTGATTGACATATACAGTTGTGGTAATTTATTTGTTTCTTGTATTTTATTAGTAAACCTGAGTGACACAAAAAAAGTCCTGGTTTTTAATTATAACCTGGGGATTTTCTACTAGGAGTATCAATGATCTCCCCTTGCATGGCTTCCCACTGTAAAAAAGCTGTTAGTTTAATCATTTTTCAAGTAAGAACATGTGTGTGAATGGTTTTGTGTCCCTGTGTTTGCTGTAATGGCACAGTACACCATGAAATCTTGTCTAACAACACCTGGACATAACCAGATGCAGCCGCATGTTTTGTCATTTGAATCAAAATTGAGTGGCTGCAGAATACTGACTGATGTTGAACCATTAATGCGAACCATTTAAAATTGCTGCTATTTGAAGGATGAAGTTTGCTTTTTCTTTCATATGCCACAGTGTAAACCTAATGGGGTTTTGAATGACATCAGGTTAAAAAAATATGTATTTATTCTTGTCATTTCAGGTCAAAAATGTTAATTTAGAAAAATTAAGAAACATTGCATCAAAGCCAAAAAACAAAAATGCCTTAAAGATTGAAAATTATGATGGACTCACAGGATTACTAGAAAATTTGCAAAAGCAGATTTTTGATATAGAAGGTAATGTTAACCATTTCTTCAGTTTTTAGTTTTTCAAGTTTGATCAATGTGGAAACAAAATAATTTTTTTCTGTTCACCCCATTGTTACATTTTTCCCTGTTTGTACATTCTTTAGGGTCCATTGTGACTCGATCTGAAAAATTGACTGTTGAAATGTCCCAAAGTGGATTCAGTGCTGTATCACACAAAGTAAGTGATGACTAAGATTTGGTTTAGTTGGTAAACGTAATGTTTTGTTTCTTTATCCGGCTTTCTTCTTTAGGTTTTGTCAAACCTTTGGCTGCCTCGTTTATTACTGAAATATGATGTACTGATAACTCCTTGACAAAATAACTCCATATGAACTCCCGATAATTAGGAATTCAAATTTAATAAGTTGGGGTAATGTAAGCTGTAAGATGTGTCTTGGTGTTCAGCTTGTAGACCCTCTAAATCCCCATAGGCACTGCTAGACCAATAATATTAAAGAGACACCATTCTACACAGAATTCTTCATACAAAAGTAGCCCCTGAATGAATGACTTAATGCTACAGAGACGGAAAGAGGTTATAAGATCTAAGGGGAGAGAAAGAGAGAGAGAGAGGGAAAAGAGTGCATGAAAAGAGAGAAATAAAACAAAACAGCACAAATAGATACAGAAGATATAGAAGTCTGCTTCCATACAAATTTAAGATGACAGGGACACAAAATAGAGAGCTGTTGCATGAAAAAGTATTTAACAATTCACTCCAGTTAAATAAACAGAGATGGATGGTTTTCACTCAGTTGTCACTTTATTTTACTTTGCAAAGTAATAAGAGAACAAGACAATCATAACATCCCTCACAGTATGATGTCCTGTTAGAGTCCTAGTGGAGAAGCTGTGATATTTGTCAGAGTCAAAACAAATCACAGACAATTTGGTTAAAGAGTAAAATGTTATGAATAAACACCGAAAAAGAACCTGGCTTTTTATTGGAATCGTATTTCTTGACCCTAATTTTCCCCACCACAGAGCATAACAGCACAAAGGAGACAACAGACAACGAAATAAAAAAGATTTCAATGTGTGTCAAAAAAAATATTAAATCCCGATTAATATCTGTGTTGACAGGACACCTTAATTCTGGGCTCTGTGGGATCAAACACCTGGCGTGGGGCTCTCAGTGAGCCTCAAAAGCAAGATAAACTGATTTTAGATCCTGAAATGCAAGAAGCCTCCTACATGGGTATAACAATGTTTAATAATTCACTCAAATTATTTCTTTTATTACAGCTATCAATTAACAACCGTGATTTTGTTCAAAGATACAGTTGTTTTTTTTTTAACTTCTTTTGGTGTCAAATAATCTGCAATGCAAAAGAAAAAGCATATATGAACTTTTGTTTCTACTCACACTTTTAGGATACTCTCTTTCTGTTGGAGAGAGGAATGGCAGTCCTCTATATTTCACTGGAGCACCGCGTTTCGACCATGTGGGGCAGGTTATAGTTTTCCAACCTGATGATGACAAGTGGAACACAACACAAAGAATAACAGGGGACCAGGTCATCTATCATTTAAATGACGCCATGCTGCTCCCATTTAAACTAGTCTCTGAGAATATTTTGCTTGGGATTTTGAGGAAGAGTGAATAATTTACAATGAAGTTACTATTTGCCAACATACACAAATGGCATTTCAATTTATCATTTCACTGTCAAAATTAAACTATAACATGTTGTATGCAGGCTTATGATATCAATAGGAAATGAAACCAGAAAATCTGACTGAATTTGCAGGCTATTTCCTAGAGATACTGAGCTCAGGAAAATCTTTATCCACTAATTACAGATTGGTTCCTATTTTGGTGCAGAGCTTTGCTCTGTAGACTTCGACTCAGATGGTAACACTGACTTCCTGCTGGTTGGAGCTCCAATGTTTTATCTGTCGGAGGAGAGAAAAGAAGGAATGATCTACATCTACTCTCTATCTGATGAGGTGTGTCATTATAAAGGCTTGGATCAAGTTTTGTTTTTGTATTAATTTATTATTCAGTAACTATTATTGTTATTGCTTCTAGATGGAGTTAAAAAGGGAGCATCAAGTGCGAGCACCATCCATGGGCAGATTTGGCACCACCATATCCAGTCTGTCAGATCTGAATGGAGATGGTCTCACAGATGTTGCAGTGGGAGCCCCTCTGGAGCAGGATAATGCAGGAGCTGTTTACATCTACCTTGGACAAAGAGGCAAAGGGATACGCAAACGTTTCAGCCAGGTGACACACAAACTAAAGATTCTATCTGAAAAAGAAAACAATAGGAGTCTGAATTCCATAAAATCAAGACATTTAACTGAGTTGATAAATTTTAACATATATTTTTACTTACCGACTACAATCGTAACGAGGTATTTGCTGAAAGTTTGTCATGTTTTTAGACTTTAACTCGTTCAGTATAAAATATTGGAAGTAGACTAAAAGGAGCTGAGAGAAGTGGGGAGAAGCAAAAAGTTTGAACACTGGAACATAGAAGTCTTAAAACAGCCACCAGGTATTGACTTTTCTTTTATTCAAACATTTTATTACTAAGCAGATGAAGAGCAACCTCAAGTTTTAGGTCAAAAGAGAAAAAAAATGCTTGAAAATGCAGCTGAGAATCTGGATGACCTTATACTTGGGCCAGAGTTTTTCATTCATGGAAAACATACCACTTAACTATCAGAAGTCTTTTTTGACACCAGATTAATGAGGTTTATTAATCTCCAGGACCTGCACATTTTTTAAACATTGCTTGATCATTGCAAATCCTTCTCATTTCCTTTTGAAGGCAGGTACGGAGCCCCTCTGATGACATGGTCAAAAAAATTTTTTAATCGTGGCCACGAAATACTACTTCGTGGCCACGCAATAAGTTTAACGTGCGCACGAAATACTTATTAATAATATCAATAATTCCGCCCCTGTTTTCAGGCTTATGTTAACTGTAATGACTTATCTTGGACAGGCTGCTATGTAAACGGGCCTTTAGTCCTTCGTTTAGCTATGCTGCGGTTGTTTACACTACGCCTTTTCCACCTAAAATGGCGTCTTAGCAACAAATGTCACGTGACTGGCAGAGACCGACTGGGTAACCAAATCGAGCGCGCCTTAGACCTTAGAGAAAGCGCGCTCGATTTGCTTACCCAGTTTTCCAGGAATGATATTAATATTATTAATAAGTATTTTGTGTGCACGATAAACTTATTGCGTGGCCACGAAGTAGTATTTCGTGCACACGTGGCCACAATTAACATTTTTTTTTGACCATGTCATCAGAGGGGCTCCGTAGGCAGGACTTATGCTGGTACTTAGCAGTACCAGCATAAGTCACACATGTTGCTGCTTATGTGAGCATAAGACAATGGTTTGACCAGAGGTATCACCTGTTAATATTTCCTTATATTCTGTACATGAGAGGTGTCTGTACATTGGGAGTGATTATCAATCCAATTCAATTCAGTTTATTTATATAGCGCCAATTTACAACACATGTCATCTCAAGGCACTTTTTACCCGGAACTGGAAGTGAGAAGGGAAGTTTAGTGGGCAGTTCAGGTACCGTGGGAAACTTGGAAACTCTTAGATTTTTACAAGGATGGGACTCACGATTGAGGGGGGCCTCGTTAGTCCTTGAATCCAGATTGTGTAGTAAATCCAGAGAATAGTGCACACGTTGGAGGGCGGACAGGTTGACAAGCATTGGACCCGGAAGAGTAATGGAGCGGACTGTCACTCGGATTTACGACGGGTACTTGAACGGAACATGTGGAGGTTTTCCCCTGCTCAGTGTAAACTAGGTTTTATCCTTCCAGGTGAGAGAAGGTCGAGGAATCAAGTAACACAGGAAAGCTGCCGGGGAGCAAAGACAGAAAACTTGTTAGACTCAGAGAAAAAAAGCTAGATTAGAGTGAGCTAAACTCAGCTTGGCTAGGGTACCCAAAACTGGCAAAATCTCTGGCCTCGAGGTAGTGACAGCCCAATGCTCAAATACTCCTCCAGATAATGGTCCAATGAGCCGCAGGTTTGCAGGGAGGGACAGCGAAGACAGGGCACCACCTGGTGGTGGAGGGAGAAAAACACAGAAACAACCACAAAAACAGACCACACAACCTGGATTCCTAACACAACTAGATGAAAAAATCAGATTGGTTCAAAGTTTTCTTTCTAATGAAAGCTGATTGCACCAACTCATTGACTGAAAGGCAGTCCCTCACACCAAGCATACTTGTAGTGACAGTAGAGAGTTAAACTCCCGTTTAACAGGAAGAAACATCTAACAGAACCAGGCTCAGTGTGGGCAGGCATCTGTCGATGCTGATTGAGGTTCAAGGAGACAGAAGTAGACATACAGTAAGAAGCAGAGATACAAAAGGCAACTCTCAACCAGCTCCACAGGCGGCCCTGTCCAGGAAACAAACAGCCAGACAGACCAGCTCCGAGCACGCTCCCGTGTCAGAGGATGAAAGATAGCATAAACAGTTAGTCACAGTCATAAAAATAAGACTATACTGAAAAACAGGCCAATCTTGAACATTTATACACAAAGGTGTTGTTGATGGCAACAGCACAGCTGATATTTCTCTCCGGGATGGTGTCACAGCCAAACAGGAACAGAACAGATGAAGCTACAGAGAATAGGCAGAGAGAGCATAATGTTAGAGATTGAACTAACAATTTTTGCTCAGCAGTAGAATAGAAATAGAATGAAGCAGAGTGATGAAAAAGGGGTCCCTATGTACTCCAGCAGTCTAAGCCTATAGCAGCATAACTAGCATCTAGCCAAAAAATTTGAATTCCGATTTTTTTTTTAAGCAGTGATGTGGTTTTATTTTGTTTTTCTTCTAACAAATCACAAGCATGCAGACATTTCCCACCAGGGTTTCATTGTTTTAGTGGCCTTCAAAACCTGCTTGTTCAGAGTTGCTGAACTTTACTGGTACTGTTGCATGGATAGGGATTTCTTCTACTGTCATGCTCTCTTATCCATTCTGTGTGGCAGCAAACCCAATTTAATTATATTACCACTACATAAAGGGCAGGATTGAGAAAGTCAGTGTCATTAAATGTAATACGACCAAAGTTTTTAGTGCCTCTGCAATTTGAGTATTGACTTTGTTGAGTTGTGATTATATAGCAAAAGCAATGTTTTGCTAATTCCTAATGCATAATCATCATTAAATTCAGTGTTTCTTAGAAATATGTAAAAGATGCACTCATTACCTACTTTTGAAAATATGTTTCAATCTACAGAATCCTACTGAACATTTCACCTGCAAAAACACTTATTGTGACACAGCTGTTTATTCAACATATTCCAACAAGTGCAGGAAGAAGGAGTCATGCATAGAAAGTCCAAATAAGTGTTATACTGATCAAATGCTTAAATGTTTTTATGAGTTGGAATGCAGTTATGAACAAATTGTCTCAATCTGTCGCTTATTCTGAAACCTGTCAATTATTCTGTTAGCATACACTTCTTAAGGTTCACATTTGAGCGACCACTTTTTCTATAGTATTTTGTTGCTGTAAGGTCACAATTTCCCCATTGTGATACAATAAAGGGATTTTCTATTCTATATTAAGTAATAACTGCATATGTTAGGCTTCTGTCTGTTTTCACAGAGAAAGCATCAGACACTGCTTTAAAACCAACTAGAGACTTAAATCAGGTGAAATGGGGAGCACAAAAGGCTCCCAATAAGGGTGTAGTCCAATCCTGCTATAAGTACTCCATAATTGTTTTGGGGCTGTTCTCTTTTTCCAGCTGCCTGTCTGTTTAAAAAAATATGTGACAGTTTGAATATTTAATCCTTTGCTGTTCCAGAGAATCACTGGAGCAGATTTCAAACCTAGTTTGAGATTGTTTGGTCAAGCCATCAATGGAGATATTGATCGTGGAGATGGTAGGCTGCCAGATATTGTTGTGGGATCACAAGGTGCTGCGGTTGTCTTAAGGTATGATTTTGTTTGTGTTTCAGTAGAAAAAAGTTATAGATAAAGAGAAGTTTAATTCTTAAAAAATGTGGCATGAGCTGATCTATTTTGTGTCTTCCAGGTCCAAGCCTGTCTTAAACGTTGAGGCTAAACTGTCATTTTATCCTGACATGATAAGCATTGAGAATATTACCTGTCTGGGACAGGTGAAGGATGACATTTTACCGATGGTTAATGTAGCAGCTTGCTTTGTAATGGAGGAAGCAACAAAGACCAATGCAGGTGGGAACTCAAATATAGGATTTTAACCAGCAGTAACTGTCCATTTGTTATTTTAATGCATCAGTTATCCCCTGCAGGGCCAGGAATAAATATCTCTCTGATGCTCATGGTGGATCCAAACAGGCCAATACATCGAGGTTTCTTCCAGGACAATAAAAAGAAAAGCAGGAACATCACACATACCTTAGAGCTGACTGACAAGAAAACATGCTTCAACTATTCTATCTTCATGCATGTATGAATAATTCGTTTTCTTTTGGCATCAGTGTTACTGAAAAGAAGTTTCTGCTCTTGTTTTTGCAAAAGAATGCTTCACACTGTTACTTCTGTTTTCCAGAGATGTGTAAAAGACACATTATCTCCAGTCCAAATGAAATTAAACTTTTCCCAAAGTGACAGTGAGAATGCAATTGGAGTTTTGAACATGGACAGCAAAAGGAATGCTACGGTCGATGTGGGTACAGTTGCTTAACTGGAGCTGAGGGCTTATGAAATATAAACACATACTCAGTTTGTTTATCTTTCAACTGTTTTTTTGTTGTTACAGGTTCCTTTTGTAAAACATTGTGACAAGGAAATCTGCATCCCTGACCTCAAAGTAGATTTTAGATTCACGTATGTATTTTTAAACAAGTAAAGCTGTTGGTTTCCCTTAATTAAATCTTAATGAATCCATAAAATACTATTTGTATTTTAGGTCTGACGAAGTATTGGTGACGGAAAATAATGGCTTCAGTGTGTTGATAACCTTGGATAATAATGGTGATGACTCATACAACACCAGCCTGACATTGCACTATCCTCCAGGCCTCTCTTTCTCAAAGATGGAGCCAACAGGGGTAATTAGGTGTGAGTGTGTATATGCATGGTTTTATGTGATTCTGTGATAGAATGGAAACCTGTCCAGGGTGTGGCCTGCCTTATGTCCACCGTCTGCTGAAAATACCATGGAGCAACAGTGAACAGACACTTGCATTGTGTCATTGAATTTGCAGCAATCCTGCCTACTGAGCATGCATACAGTGACAGTGGAGCAGAAAAACAAACCCTTTTAACAGAAAGAAAGCTTTAGGTAAATCAGGCTAAAGGCTGGTTTATACTCAGAAACCAGGTCGTCTGCGTGTGTGTCACAGTGAACGCAGATACACCCCCGCCCCTTCTGCAGACACTCTGGCGCACCTCTTCAAAACTGTAGGTGACCGCAGACAGTGCCACCGACAGGAGGCCTCTGATTGGTCAAATCTACATCCACTCTACACTATGAATATTTCTTGTTGGTTCCTCACCAGCTTGTTTTGTGAGTATGACCTCCATTGTGGAAAAAACAACTCTGGAAGATGGACCAGCTAGAACAGCGAGGGGCGCAAGAATGCTGGGACCCTTTTTCCGTGTGAATCCCTGCTTTTTTTCCCGCTAATGTCCCTCCATTGTCGCACAAACTTGCCCCTTTACTTTTTCCTCTTCACCACCTCGGCCGTATCTGGACCAACAGCTAGTTCGTGATTGTCCCTCTTGTGTTGTGGTGTGGAATAACATAGCGTAGACCACACTTCGAACTTGGGCATAAATCAAAAAATCTGCATCATACCTGCGACAAGTTCACTCCGACACACTGCTGCGACAGCATAACCAGCCCTTATATGTGAATGGCGTTGAGCAAGAACTAAACTGGGGTTTGAGAAGAAAGAAGAAGTCACAGAAGCATTAGTACAGAAGTGCTTCCTATGTGAGAAGAAAGTTTAACGTTAGTAACAGTAGCATCTCTTCAAGTGCTCTATCTCGGAGTGAAACACAGCTAAGCAGATTAACTTTGAGCCAATATTTAAGTTTAGAGCAGGGGTCATCAGCGTGGTGCCTGTGGGCACCGAGGGGCCCTCAGGGGCCACCAAGGGGCCCTCAGGGGCCTTATGGGGTGCCCACAGTATCTTCTGAAAACAGCACAACTCACCAGTGCGCAACTCACCTTTGCGCTACGGCAGCCCAGAGCCAACAAACTAGCGATTGCGAGATCGCCAAAACGTCACAACGATGTAGAAAAAATAACGGGTATATTTATTATCTTAAGTCTACATGAAATCTATACCCTACACAAACTAATGAAATACTATCTGTAAAATTATCTATGTAAACAAACCTCATCCCTTGAGAAGGTAGGTGATGCGGACGTCGTGGAAGACATTTTGTCCCGTAACGCTCGCCGTACTGTTGGGGGGGAGACGCGGTGGGGGGGAGATGTTCATGTTGCTGCAGTCTGACCGCTAGATGTCGCTAAAAGTTACACACTGTAGCTTTAATAATACGGAGTATTTGAGCTTTTATAGAAATTTCAAAATGGCAATATAAAAAATTAGGAGTTAAAAGAAACAATAAAAATATGTTTATTATGTATGAAGTTAAGGTGAACGCTGATCCCTTCCTTCCTTCCTTCCTTCCTTCCTTCCTTCCTTCCTTCCTTCCTTCAAGGTGAACACTGATTCTTTCAGTTCACCGGCCAGTAGTGGTAGCTCTTCCTTCGACTCAATACCCATTAAGTAGCCCTCGGGCTTAAAAAGGTTGGTGACCCCTGGTCTACAATCTAAAGCAGCTATTTTTTCCCCACAGATTAAGAGAGTAACTCACAACTGCCCTGTCCAAGAAGAAGGTGTGCTGAACAGAACAATTTGTGGAATCAGCTCTCCAGTGTATCGCAGCAAATCCTCTGTAAGTCATACACACCCAAAAAAACCCTGCTACAATTAACATAACCCCTTAATGAAATAACCTCATTCTTATTTACAAAGATAAATACGGATAATATTGATTTACCCCTGCTGATTTTATTTATAAGGAATGTATAACCCCATATACAAAAAAAGGTCAGACAGTTTGAGTCTAAGGGAGTCAAACATCTCACATCGGTAAACAACTCCTCATGCTTGGACACAGTGTAGCCTTGCAGGTGTGCAACAGCATGAGTGAATACTTTTGTGGAAAAAGTAAGTAAAATTAACACTTGTCATTAACAAAGTCAGGAATCGATAGGAAATTATTTTTTCACACCACAGGCAAGTGCTTTGCCAAAATTTTATTTGGTGTCTTAAACCAATAGGTGCGCAGGTGTTACTAAAACAAACATAACCTCAAGAAGTAATAATACCAATACTCAAAAGACCAATTAGGGCACCCTGATCCAGATGTAAGTTAAGTATGTGTGAAAAACACATACAGGTGCTGGTCATAAAATTAGAATATCATGAAAAAGTAGATTGATTTCAGTAATTCCATTTAAAAAGTGAAACTTGTATATTATATTCATACATTACATACAAACTCATATATTTCAGATGTTTATTTCGTTTAATTTTGATGATTACAAATGACAACAAATGAAAATCTCAAATTCATCATATCAGAAAATTAGAATATTGTGAAAAGGTTCAAAATTGATGGCCCCTGGTGCCACACTCTAATCAGCTAATTAACTCAAACCACCTGCAAAAGCCTTTAAATGGTCTTTCAGTCTAGTTCTATAGGCTACACAATCATGGGGAAGACTGCTGACTTGACAGTTGTCCAAAAGACGACCATCGACACCTTGCACAAGGAGGGCAAGACACAAAAGGTCATCGCTAAAGAGGCTGGCTGTTCACAGAGCTCAGTGTCCAAGCACATTAATAGAGAGGCGAAGGGAAGGAAAAGATGTGGTCGAAAAAAGTGTACAAGCAAGAGAGATAACCGCACCCTGGAGAGGATTGTGAAACAAAACCCATTCAAAAATGTGGGGGAGATTCACAAAGAGTGGACTGCAGCTGGAGTGAGTGCTTCAAGAACCACCACACACAGACGTATGAAAGACATGGGTTTCTGCTGTCGCATTCCTTGTGTCAAGCCACTCTTGAACCACAGACAGCGTCAGAAGCGTCTTGCCTGGGCTAAAGAGAAACAGGACTGGACTGCTGGTGAGTGGTCCAAAGTCATGTTCTCTGATGAAAGTAAATTTTGCATTTCCTTTGGAAATCAAGGTCCCAGAGTCTGGAGGAAAAGAAGAGAGGCACTTCATCCACGTTGCTTGAAGTCCAGTGTAAAGTTTCCACAGTCAGTGATGGTTTGGGGTGCCATGTCATCTGCTGGTGTTGGTCCATTGTGTTTTCTGAGGTCCAGGGTCAACGCAGCCACATACCAGGAAGTTTTAGAGCACTTCATGCTTCCTGCAGCTGACCAACTTTTTGGAGATGCAGATTTCATTTTCCAACAGGACTTGGCACCTGCACACAGTGCCAAAGCTACCAGTACCTGGTTGAAGGACCATGGTATCCCTGTTCTTAATTGGCCAGCAAACTCTCCTGACCTTAACCCCATAGAAAATCTATGGGGTATTGTGAAGAAGAAGATGCAATACACCAGACCCAACAATTCAGAAGAGCTAAAAGCCACTATTAGAGCAACCTGGGCTATCATAACACCTGAGCAGTGCCACAGACTGATCGACTCCATGCCACGCCGCATTGCTGCAGTAATACAGGCCAAAGGAGGCCCAACTAAATACTGAGTGCTGTACATGCTCATACTTTTCATGTTCATACTTTTCAGTTGGCCAACATTTCTATAAATCCTTTGTTTTTATTGGTCTTCAGTAATATTCTAATTTTCTGATATGATGAATTTGAGATTTTCATTTGTTGTCATTTGTAATCATAAAAATTAAACAAAATAAACATCTGAAATATATGAGTTTGTATGTAATGTATGAATATAATATACAAGTTTCACTTTTTAAATGGAATTACTGAAATCAATCTACTTTTTCATGATATTCTAATTTTATGACCAGCACCTGTATATTTACCTCCACATTTCTGTATAACTCATCATGATTGTCTTGTCTGATCCTGCTATGGTAACACATTGTAAAGTGACATTTATTTAATATTGTCATAATGGGCTTTGAGGATCTGACCCACATCCAGAGACACACTCAGGAGCCAAGGATAAAAGTTAACAGGTTTATTGAGGTTAGCTAAAACACAGACTGAGAGATATTCAGCTGGGTAACACTGTTATCAGCGGACTGGTGAACCGGAACCGGAAACTCTGACGGGGAGATCATAATGATCAGTTCAAAAAAATGGAAAAAAATGACTGAGGCTTGTCATTTGCAGGAGGGGCACTCACGTTTAGGGGGTTCTTCGTTACTCTTAGGATCCAGTTTGTGGGGTTTTATCCAGAGATGAAAGAACCCGTTGGAGGGCGGACAGGCAGACTAACGTTGGATCCAGAGGAGCAATGGAGCAGACAGTCCCTGGGTTTTCCTGAAGTGGACTTGAACAGATCATGTGAAGGTTTCCCTTTGCTCAGTGTGAATCAGTTTATCCTTCCAGGGGGGTAGAAGGTCCAGGCTTATCCAGTGAATCAGGAAGGCTTCCTGCTGAAGAACAAAAGAAAAAGCAAGCTTAAACTCAGAGAGACAAGACTAAGGCTAGTGTCTGGCAAACACTCTGGCATCAAGGTAGTGACAGCCCGTTGCTCAAACACTCCTCTGGTGATGACCCAACGAGCCGCAGGTGTGCGAGGAGGCCCAAACGAGGACAGGGCACCATCTAGTGGTGGAAAAAGAAAACACCAAAAACAACCCACACAAACTGGATTCCTAACAAATATATCTTAAAACCAGAAAGGGGCCCAGTAGAATTTGTATAATTCTAAAAAACGTATTATATCATTAGTCATCTTTTGACATGCAAGGTAAAAAAAAAATCCAAACCCTAATCCATAGCAAAACAGCAAGCACGGAATCAAAAAGACAGAAGGTGTCTCCTGTTCTCCACATCTTCAGTATTTCAAATAAAACACTTCAAAAAATGTTTTCAAGTAATTAAAACAAATCACGGTTTTAGTTTGCTCCTTAATAATGGCTGTATATGTTGAAAAAAGTGCTGTAATTATCTCAAGCAAAGCTTATGTCAATACACTTGGAAAATTGAGGAATTTGTGTATATTATAACATACATTCTTAAAATGTAAAGTGTTTGGTAAAACTTTAAAAAAAGATTTTTTTAAACAGTAAGCCTGACATAACACAGAAATAGTTCATAATAAATAAAAAGAAAACAAAGGTTAAGAAAATTATTAAACAGGAGGGCCAAATTACCACAAGTTAGGATTAGGGCCAATTATACATTCTTAATCAAACCGTAACTATATATCCTCCTTACAGATATAACTGAGGTTTTTTAAAAGCTCTGAATGGCTAACTTTATCTACCTGCCATGCTCCCAAAGCCTGATCTAATGTCTTTTTCTCTTGTCCCATTGAAGGCCACCTTCAACGCTACTTTCCGTGTTGCTAAAGATTTTGAGTGGAGTAATAATATGTCAATGACAGTCACTGCACAAAGGTAAAATGTTTTATCCAACAGTCCTGTACAGAAGGAAGCCAAAGATTTGCTATCAATTTTTCTGAAAAAACACTGTTTTTCTGTTTTCATTCTTAGTGAAAATTTAAATGCCAGCCAGACACCTTCTGTGACCAAAGTTATCCCTGTTAAATATTCGGTTAGAATTGCAAAAGATGTGTAAGTAGTATTACACACGTCAAGGTTCATTTCAGCTTTATAACACCAAATGTTTCCATATTTTGCAATGATAGTGATTTTCTTCTGTTTTGTTATTTATAGAAAATCTGATAAATCTGTCAAATACCTAAGCTTCACTTCAGAGAAATATGAGCCACAAACGATGGTTATTACATATGAAGTAAGTTTAAAATTCAGTTTTCTCGCTTTCAATAAAAATATTCCTTTAAAAATATTACGTTGCAAAAATTTGAATCAATTTATTTACTATGATGCGGCTTCTCATGTTTTACAGATACAGAACACCGGTTTCAAGGATTTTCCCATCAGCGTTTCACTGTTCTTCCCAAGTAAACTGGAACACAACTTTGAAATCCACAACTACAAAGTTGTTGTCAAACCAGTAATTTGACTTTATACTACAATATTTGTTTATTTCATCTCCTTTTGTGTGTCTTACCTGCAAACTTTTAATATATTTTTATTGTTGTTTTTAAGAACAAAACTGCATGCTCAGTCATTTCCACCCAAAAGTCTGAGGTTAGTGTAACAGATTCAGGCTTAAAACATGTAATCATAATATGGATAAATCACTGGGTGACATAAGGTGCTGTCTTGTTGCAGAACTGCCCTCTGGGAAAAGATTGTGTTACCATGGAATGTAATACTTTTACTTTGAAGAATTATTCAGACGTTCACTTTTCCTTGGAGGGAGATGTGCATTTCAGAAATCTAAAAGACTACGCATCAGTATGTACTGTGACAAGTAAAGACAAAATACGCCCCACATATCTGCAAAATGTCTTTTAACTGTCCTGCTCTTGCTTTAAAGAATATGCCCTTCCTGAATCAATTTACTGGAGACAATCGAGAGGTCCATTTTACAAGCTTTATACAAATTGACTACGATGCTGGTAGATACATGCTGGATGAGGTATGTATTAGTTGCACTGCTGTAATACCATGTTAAAGGAAATGAAGATAGTAATAATCTGAGTTTTGGTTTCAGAAGAAGACGCAGATTGACAAGAAACTAAAGGTATCAATGTTTACAAGTCTTACCTTTACTTATTTTTTAATACAAATCAATCTTTCTTTAAAAAGGCATAACTCTGCTTTATTTTTTTCTTCCTCTTCTAACAGGCTAATGTTCTTGTTGAGTTCACTGTGCCCCAAAATAGACCACTTATCATTGGAACTGGAGTAGTGCTGGGAATTTTGCTTCTTTTCTTGATTGCATTCATCATGTACAAGGTGAGATTTTTAGTCTTTGGTCTGAAGAATTTAATTGATTTTATTGTGTTTGTTCTAACTGCTTTTTGTGCTTGAAGTGTGGCTGCTTCAAGAGGAAAACCATTGAGGATTATCAAAACGAAGACAATCTCTCTGCTCAGAATGGGTGTGCATCTGATTTGTCTCATGATAAAGCTGAACAAGTTGAGGAGGAAAAAGCTTTAAATAAAGATGAAGAGAAAGGCAGCATCTCTGCTGCTTTGGAATGAGACCAAGAGGCGGCGATCATTTGGGCTGAACTAATTCAAACATGATGGATGTTGGCCATACAATCCACCAATTAAAGGGAAATTAGAATGAAAAACGTCCCGACTTGATCTAATGACTAATCTTTCTTTGATCAAAATGCACAGGGAATACATTTGTTATATAAAATAGGATACAGATGGAGGCGTTTCTACTTGAAACATTTTATACACTCAAAAATATTTCAACCAAATTTTAAGATTTATGTCATTTAATTACATAACAAACTCTGTTTGTTTTACCTTTATGCAATTCAAATATTAAACTTTATGTATTTGAAACAAATACACTCATAAGTATTAATATTCAGTATGTATACTTTATGAATAATACAAATACATAAACCTGATACTTATGTATTTCAAATTTTAATAATTATGTTTTATTGTACAAATAAGGATAGATCACATAAGGTTTATTTAATAGATTTATGTAAAAAGTGTCTGAAAAAGAAGTAAATCGGAATTTCTATGCAATAAATTGATATAGATCTTAATATTTGGGTGGAATATTTCTGAGAGTGTAACAAACAGTAGTTTTCTGAAGCCCTTCTTTATCCCCTATAATTTCCACTTCATTAAGTTGGTAAAACATGATTACCTGAGTTGACATGTATCCAAAAAAACAGAAGGGAGGTGAATCTTCCAGCTTTGTGGAAGGTGTGTCTTTAGCATTTCTGAATGTAGGAATATTCTCATTAAAGCTTAAAGTCCTCTAGTATTTCCTGGTAACATCCTAGCAAATGCAAGTTAAACTGAAGGCATCTGCTGTTGGAACTTTGTGAAGACAAATAGAGAAATTGCTCCAGGTAAAGTATTTTTTTTTTCTTTTTGCTTCTGATGTAATTTAAGCCAAAAATAAATACCAAAACCCTCCAGGAATGTGGATAATTGCACTGCATGCACATTTCTTTTAGGGAAATGCATCAGCTTGTTTTATTAAAACATCTGCTAACGTTGCACATTTGCTCAGACTTTTTAGGGATTCAATTTTTCTTTTAGAGGGTACCCATGATGAAAAAGTACAATCTTTCAAAGACCAGGTTGTAATTTTATTTATAAGTCCTGTTCTTTTGCTCTCTGTCCCAAATGTGAGTGAGGATGAAAGTCAGGGAAAGCCATCCAAAACATCTTTACATGGAAGCCAGAGATAATTTACTTTGGTTAATGAGTGAAGACCTTCTAATAGAATCATAGTTTGTTAAAATTAATATTTCTCTTTTATTTAGGTTATGTTTTCCATGGCTTCAATTATCTCCAGGCTCTTCTCTTATCCCCTAGTTTTTCCCTTGGTCATTCCTTATTTTGTAGACATTAGTTTTATTCCACTTTAGCTTTAATTAAATAATTTTCTAGTTAATTTCAAACTCTGTTGTTTCCCCAGCTTATTCTCTATTGCCCCCTAGTGTCCTTTCCTGTCCACTTAGCTCCTTCTAGTTACTACACTTGCTTCCTATCAGCTAATTAGTTCTCCCACTGTTTTTGTCTCCCATATATACACCACCTGTTGTATGTATGGAGGCATATATATATGTGAGCCCAACCAGCCGAATCCAGCCATGAGTAACTGTTCAGTTACTCATGGCTGGAATCTGGTCATTCCTTATGTTTATTCATCCCTAGTTTTATGATTCTTGAGTGCCTTGCTAATCAGTTCTGAACTATGGATTCTCTATATTAACTTCTTTAATAAATTTTGCAAGAAATCATCTCTGCCTCTTCTACTCAGCTTTTGGGTCAACAAAACAACATCCACCAACCTTATCAACAAGTGTTTGTTCTTCTGCAGTCCTTTGTAAATGCACACATATTATTGCTCTTTTTTTCCTTAGCACTAAAACTGCACTTTGAAAAGTATTTGACTACAGATTCAAAAGTCTATGCCATTCTTTTCTTTTAGATCTGATAGCTACCTTTAACGGTGGTGGTCCCAGTATCCTTACTTTTCGACTGGAATGTTCTGGCATAAAAGAAACTGAACAGAGGAGGTTTTTGTCTTATGATTCTGACCATTTCTTGGTAATGTGTCTGTTTCCTTCAACAGCCCCTTGCTTGTGAAGATTTTAAGCCATAAGATCAGATGGTTCCTTATTTTTCTCAGTAAATCAAAGAGAAATGTTTCCTATGTAGTTATCCATTATCATATTTTACTGTAAAATCAAAAACCCAATGACTAAAATAAGAACTTAGAAGAATGACTAATCGCTCATTTTGAAGTCCAAGATTGTGACTGGCAGATAGTTCATATTTTATTTGTTGTATCTCCTGCTGGGGCTAAGTAACCCTCCAAGCAGAAGAGACTAGCCAATAGATGGCGCTAGGGTGCTGCCCCACCAGCCCAATTACTTTGACTAAGAAAAATAAAAATAAATTGAAATTAAATTATAGCATTTCAAAATATATTGAGGGTCTGACCCAGCATGGAAAAAGACAGGTTGGACTGATTTAAAGCACTTTTTTTTTTTTTTTTTTTTTAGAAAAGGCAAAGAATGATGAACAATCTGGGATTCACATGGATAATAATATAATATAGTAGATTTTTTCTAGATGTTTGTTAGTTTGCATAGTTGCTCTTAAATAAACACATTCTCAGAAAACATATCGTTTTTATATATTAAATAAAGCTTCTCCATTAATAAAATGGTATATTATTTTTTTTAGGTTTGTGACACAAAATTGGACCATGTAAAACAAATCTCTTCACAAAGCCTCAGAAAGGCAAGATTTATGTACAAAATGTAGATCTGTACATGAAATTATGTTTTGTTATTACAAAGTGTTTTATAATGTTTTTGGCATTCATATCAATATACTGGTGTGATAATTTAGTATACGTTTGATTGCTTTTTTACCCTCTGCACCAGCCGCCACTGCCTCCAGAAACAAGAGATGTTTATGTGACTTATGTTTCCCTCTTAAACTGATGATAATTGATTGGTTTCATAAACATTTATAAGTAATACTAAAAAAGTAAAGAATTTGTTGTTTTATACTTTTAAGTTTGCAGCTTGAATAGCATTAGAAAGAAAGTGTTGAATGGGTGCAGTCGTTATGAAAAAGCTTTGCACATTTCACACAGAAAATACCTAGAGATGAAAAAAATATGCAAATTTCTCACATGTATCCAAATTATACTTTAAAACAATTCCACATTTGAATGACCATAAATAATAGTAAAATACAGCTAAAGTATTTTCTGTATCAGCAAGCAAAAAAAAAATGCAAAGGTTAAATATTTGTTGAGTTTCTGGTCAGTTAAAGATAATATTTTTTATGAATTCTGAATTTACATAATATAAACAGAATAATCCTATTTAATAAAGTTAGAACTGTTGAATACCCATAATTCTTTGCTGGCATGTATTATTTTCAATATACAACCTGTGTGTCATATTCTTTATATTTGAGGTACTTCTGTATATATAAATGAGTTTCTTTTTGCAATAAAAATTAATAAAGATGAATAAAGATGGAAAATCTGTATGTGTGTGAATTTAATGTCTACCACAAAGAGCCAACCAGAACATTTTGCTCTGATGTTTCTCCAGGTATCTGTCAGATGGAGTCACTTTTCCAGAGTAGGAGTTACTGCCCCTGGTGCTCCAATGAACATAGGCACTACAGTTGCCTTCACCTTTCTGGCTCTCTCTAGTTCCTCCCTGAGCCCTTTTCCAATATCTCATATTCTTTTCCTGATGTTACTATCATCTTTTTGATGTGGCCAAATAGATAATTACAACCATTTTCTGCTACTTATCAATGGTCACAATGTCTGGGTGGTTGGCAACAACCAGTTTGGCTGTTTAATCTAGAAGTCCCACAAGATCTTAGCTCTGTTGTTCTCCACCAGCTAATTGTCACTTAATGATTAATTTTTGTGAATCAGAGGAGTTCTGGCTTTTTTTTATTATGATGAAAAATGTAATGATGACATCTAGTGACAAGATTTTAAAACAGCAAGATGTAATATTTTAATTTCTAAAGCACTTAACATGAAAATCCTAAAGTGTTACAAAGTAACACTAGAAAGCAATATTTAAGAAATAAAACTATTAATCAACACATTAAACAACATATAAAACCAACATTAAGTGAACAGTTGTAAAACCTAGAAAACAACTTAACATTATTTTTAAGACTTTATTGTCTGTGGTATTCTTAAGTGTAATAGAAGCACATTCCATAAGTGGGGGGCGACTGAGGTAAGACAGAACTAGCAGGGGGAAGGTAGCCCTAGGGTGGGTATGAATAGTGTAGTTCAGGGGTAACAAATAAAAAATTATCAGGGTCCGAAGAAAATCGTCAACCAGTAAAGGCCTGGAGACATTTTTTTATTATAATCCATTACTTTAAAAAGAATTTAACACTGAAATAAGATGCTTTTAATCAATGTATTTTTATGCATCAATGCTATACATTGAATTTTTATAACATTTTATACAATTAAATGTAGGCTATAATATTAATATAATAATATTTATGTTTAAAAAAAGAAAAAAGAAAAAAAAAAAAGAAAATTTTTCCATTTTAAAATCTGAAGTATTTTTTGAAGTAGAGAACAACAATTGTTCAGTTTGGTATATACACAATATCCGTTTCACATATTTTATAAAACACCTGAACTGACCGTTTGTTTTTGTTTTTCTCTCTCTTTTATGCAGTAATGAGAGTAGTGGGCTTAACCTGAGTGAAGTTTGTGCTTTTGACCTTTCGATTAATATCTTCAAAGCCAAAGCAGCCCAAACGACAAACCATCACAAATGGAGTCGAGTTAATTGACACCCATTTCGTCTAATTTGAAGGGGGGTGGGTGGGGGGTGGGGGGGATGATATTAGTGTTGTTATATCAGGGATAACCAACCTTTTTATGGCTGAGGGCCACTTCAAGGGTACTGAGACGTAGGAAGGGCGACCATTACTGACCCATGAGCTGCAAGGGTTAGCGTTAGCCTAAACTTTGTTCATTATCAACATATTTTTATTGTTTCTGTTAATTTCTAAGTTTATTTAGAGATTGTCATTTTGAAATCTCTATAAACTATTAAAAAGAAGAGCAACAGAATAAAATTAAATTTCAAACTTAGCCCACTGGTGGGTTGTTCTTTATTTAGAAGACTCTGAGGGCCACCCATGTGGTCCTTGAGGGCACCTTGGTGCCCACGGGCACCACGTTGGTGACCCCTGCTTTATATCTTTAAAATGATAGCGGCACAACAAAACATTTTTGCTGCACAAACATTTGATACCAATTTTGTCTGATTTGAAGAAGGTGGGGGGGCAACTTCACTCAGGTACAGACACCTGATAGCAAGCTTGTATTTACATTTGGTGACATCACTTTTGTCCCACCAACGGATATCAAGAAGTGATCACAGCCTCTGTCAGACAGATAGGATTTGTGCCACATATTGTCTTTTAACTCTAGTGTAACCTTTCCTGACCAAGGCTGTTGTCGCCTTCATGTGAATTGATCAAGTGTGGAACTTGCCAGCTGGCTGTAAAGCAGTAAGGAGGCAGAAGTGCTTGGCTTCCGCGGTCGCAATAGGCTAGGCTGCACTGAGCTGTGAGAGCCATCCAACACTGCTGGTGGCTTTGAATAATCTTGTATCCAGCAAGATGCCCAAACTACTTGTTGGATTTTGTTGAAGTTTCTCCAACAAGTGTTGGAGACAGGATTGTAAGTCTGTCAGAAAAATTCCAGAAAACCTTAAAAGTGCTAAAAGCCTGAGTTATTTTAGGTCAAAGTTAAAAATCCATTTGATTGGAACTGCCTTTGACTTTTGATGTTAAACTATTAACTGAGGTATTATTAGTCGAAGATTGTTGTCAAACAGTTTTATTTTTTTTACTTCCTGCTTTTATCATGTTTTTAAGTCAATTTGCATTTATCCTGCTTTTACCTCTACTTACTAGAGAGGGTGAACGCTCAGGCGAAGAATGACTGGCCTCCTGTTCCTTTTAAGGTGCTTGAAGAGTGAAGTAAATGAGTTGATGAGCTGTATTAGTGGAGCTGTAACAGAAGATGGCATTCCGAGCCCAGCAACCAGCTTCTAGTATAACATCTGGTGAAGAGTCTGAAAAATTGGAATCAGTGTTAGTGTGTGGAAAACAAATCTATGTTGATTAGACAAATCTTAACCAGCATTACACAATAGTTTCGCTACCTCTCCAGGAAGCTTTCTCAAAAAAAGCTTCCTGGAGAGGTAGCGAAACGTCTTCAAATCTTGGAAACCAAGTCCAGTGGATATTTTTTGAATTTTTACGGAATGACTATGACCTGGATGACTGAGAACCTTCATCAGCTTTTTGTGTACTCTGTCACTATCCTTCTTGGCATTTTTGCCAGCAAGAAGGAACCTTACAGCTATAAAATATTTTTGTGTGACTTGGGTTAAAGCCCGTCGTTTGAGTCGCCAATGATGCCAAGATGGCAGCACCTGTGAAAAAGATAAAAATGAATTATTGTTTTTCTCTGTGTTGACACAAAATTATCATTGATTGTTCTTAAAATTTGCATTATATAAAGAAACATAAAATTAAATGGGGAAGTAAACAAGGGGTTTTTAACAATGCAGTTGTCTTATTTGGGTGTTGGGGCAAACAATTAAATCATAACGGTAGCTTGAAGTTATAGCATTGAGATCTACACGATACATTCTCGATACAACAAATAACAGCAGGTTAAAAATACCATTATTCGCT